TCTGTTTGAATCTGTTTCATGGATTCCAGTTCCTTCTATGTTGGTCATTCATGGCTTCCATTTCTTTCTTATGCTGGGCCTTCATGGCTTCTATCATTGTTCTGAGCTCATCTATTTTTTGTTGGTCTGTGTTCTAGAGTCTCTAATCATGTTTTTAATTGTGCTTACCATCTCTGTAGTTATCTGGGAAATTATTTCTGTTTTGAATTTTTTCTAGAGCCTGGTTGATCTGTTTTGTTACTTCCTGTGGTACAAGTTCAGGGTGTCCTGGTGGTTCATTGTCAGATTTTTCAACTTCATTTCTCCTAGAGTTTGCTGTTGTTGAACTGGAATTCTGCCTTTGTATCTTGCTTAAGTGTTTTCTCATTTTTATTTTTGTTGTTGGGTTGTCCTCAGTTTAATTTCTGGCTTATTAACTAAATCTTCCTGATATAGTTGCTCTTTAGCTTTTGTGTCTCCAATGACTCACAGACATGTTCATTTTTATTATATCAGAAAGGACAACTCATTAAATCAATCACAACCCTTTAGTCCAATTGATACAGTCAGCAACACAGTAGCTTCAAACACAGCTTAAATGTTGACCATTTGTTGTAGTGATTAAGCTGTCAGCTTTAAACCACGTGAATTAAAACAAATCAAGGAGCAGCCCAATATATATTTACAGTGAATAAACTCTTCAATATAGCAACTTTATCCTTTAGGATGGGGGCTTAGACAGAGTTAGGATGAGAGTAGAAGAATTGGAGAAAGTTTCAAGTGAAGCCAGGGGACACAAGGTGACCTCACAAACCTTAGGAAACTGTTGAAGACAAGAGGGAAAGATAGAGTAAAAGAATAAGAACTAGAATAAAACTACTTAGCAGTAATAGGGGCTCACTTTCCTTTGAAATTAGTGACTCGAGTGAAAGAAAAAGAGAGAATAAAAGAAAATAAAAGAAGAAAAAGCAAAAGAAGAAGTCCGAGTTAGGGCAGGAATAGGAACAGAAAGGGAGATGAAGAATAATATAGGGGAGCAGGAGACTGACTTGGAAAAAGAAGACAGAAAAAAGAATTACAGAATGGGATGAGGAAAAGAGAAGAACAAATTTGAAAGGCCTCTTTCAGGAAATATCTCTGCGGTTACAATAAACAATATGCACAGCAATATGCAGAACTAAGTCATTTAGTCTCAGCTAACCAATGGCAGACCCCTGAGATTCAGGCTTAATTTGGACCGCAAGGCCCAAATTGAGCTCCCTGACACCCTGCAAGATTGAACTATGCAAGGTTTTACTGCAGGTCCCTTCTGCTCTTTCTCTAAAGATATTCAAAGTTCTGATGGAAGGCAGTGATCCCTTCAACTTACCAACTTCCTTCTATCCATCCTTATTATGCTTCTTTTTCCCTTACTCAAAACACAGATTTTTCTTCAGTCATAGTTTATTAAGCTTTGTGCTAAATGGAAGAATATGAAGCAGCTATCACATACATTCTCTACAGTAATGATGCTATATAGCCAACCTTTCAGTGGGCCCAACCCTTTTACACAGATGGACCAAGGATCATGAAGGAAGACACAGCACAGTATCAGGTAATATAGGAGAGTTTTGCAAAGGCAGGATTTGCAAAGTAGGGAAAATGTACATGTGGTGGTGAAGCAAGTGGGGAGTTCATCACCAGAATGAGAGAGGAATGGACCATTGAGTGAGAACTGTAGCCAGGAGTCCAGGTGCTGTGCCCCGTTGCCAGAGGAAGTACTTCTCTGACCTGGATCTCCTGAGGGAGCTCCTGCCAGACCTCCTGCTGGCCAAGCCTAACCAGAGCCAGAGGCCAATAGTAGCCTTTGATGCAGCCAAAAAACGTTATAATTGGGGACAGAACAAGGTAGGGAAGGGAAGAGAGTGGGTGGCTCTAAAAGTGTAAGGAAATGGAAAATGCTCATAACACCCCCATTCCAGAACATCAAGAGGTTCTCCCCTGAAACAGGTCTGACAAAGGAGTGAGAACAAAACACAGTTGATACTGAACATGACTAAAAATATATCAAATTATGCTTTACCTAATATATTAATATAATGCATTATAGAATGTTCTGGAATTGCTATTACAATTTTACAGATGACAAAAATGGAGGTGCAAAAAAGATAAATAAATGGAAAAAATTCATACAACTGGTAAGTGGCAAAATTGGGATTTAATTTAAATTAATTCATGTTTTCTGAATTCAAATTACATGCTTTTCCAGGGAAGAACTCACACCCCTGGCAATGTGTGAAGAGCGGTGTGGATTCCAACTAGTCTGAAATGTAGACCTAGTAAGAAAACTCAGACTTTTATCAATCTTGTTTGCATTAGATTTGAAACTGCTGAAAAGCCATGAGACTTGGGTAGACACAAAATCTATTAAATAAAATGAACAAAACTAGTTATTGAATCAGGCATGGTGGAATGTGCCTGTAATCTCAGCACTGTCAAAGGTTAATGAAGTTGGTTCATAAATTTAAATTCATCCTGGACAATTTATGAACTTAGACTCTATCTCAAAATAGAAAGAAAGAAGGAAAGAAAGAAAAGAAAGAAAGAAAGAAAGAAAGAAAGAAAGAAAGAAAGAAAGAAAGAA